CACATCCCCAGTAGGGGGCGTGCAGAAGGCAGCTGATCTATGTTTCTCTCACATCATGTTTCTAACCCTCTACCCTTCGGCCTTCCTCTTTGTGAAAAATCAATAAACTATATTTTTAAATAAAAAAATAAAAAAGAAGGAAATTCTGATACATACTACAATAAGCCTTGCGATCATTATGCTAAGTGAAAGAATCCAGTTACAAAAGAACAAATACTGAATGATCCCATGTACGGCATATCTAGAATAGCCAAATTCATAGAGATCGGAAGTACAGCAATGGCTGCCAGGGGCTAGGAGAAGGGAGATGGAGAGTTACTATGTAATGGGTACAGATGTTCAGTTTTGCAAAACAAAGCTTTCTATGAATGCTGGTGGCGATGGTAACACAACAATGTGAATATAATCAATGCCATGGAATTGTTCACTTAAAAATGACAAAAATGTAAAGTTTATGATATGTGTATTTTACCAAAACTGGGGGGGAGGGGGAGAAGAAAAAGAAAAAAAACCTCTTCCATGCTAACTCATGCTTATGTTTTTAAATCTGAGCTGTTTCCAGAAAACCAACATATCAGCTCCTGTATTTGTCCTTGTTTAGTACAATGGTTTGCCTGTTGAATTTCATTCTGTTTGAGACTCTCTGTGTTACAGTGTCACTGTATCAGCAATACATAGAGTTGTGCAACATAAGACACAGCATCCTATATAATAAAAGGGTAAAGTGATCCTAACAGTGGAATGACCAGTCGCTATGACGTGCACTGACCACCAGGGGGCAGACACTCAATGCAGGAGCTGCCCCCTGGTGGTCAGTGTGCTCCCACAGGGGGAACTCTGTTCAGCCACAAGTTGGGCTGATGGCTGGGAGTGCCGTGGAGGTGGCAGGAACCTCTTCCACCTCCTCGGCAGTGCTAGGTATGTCCAACTGCAGCTTATGCCCACTCCCCAGGGGGCTTCCGGGCTGTCAGAGGGATGTCTGACTGCCATCTTAGGCCCAATCCCCTAAGGGGTCCCCGACTGTGAGAGGGGGCTGGCAGGGCTGAGGAACGCTCACTCTCCACAGTGCACAAATTTTCATGCACTGGGCCTCTAGTTTCCAAAATAAAGATGCAAACATTATTGTCACTCACTACTTGCTAATTAAAAGGACAGACTTTCAATCAAAGAAATTAAGATTGGTCCTAACTGGTTTGGCTCAGCAGATAGAGAGTTGGCCTGTGGACTGAAGGGTTCCAGGTTCAATGCTGGTTAAGGGCACATGCCCGGATTTCAGGCTTAGTCCCCAGTGGGGGGCATGCAGGAGGTAGCCAATCAATGATTCTCTCTCCTCACTGATGTTTCTTTCTTTTTTTTTAATTAATTAATTTATTTTATTGATTATGGTCTCACATAATTGTCCTTATCCCCCCATTCCCATCCCAACCCCCTTTCTACATATGCCTCACCTCCCTGTTGTCCATGGCCACTGGCTAGCTCCATATGCATGCACACACAAGTCCTTTGGTTGATCTCTTCCCCTTACCCCCACCCTCCCCTACTTTCCCTCTGAGGTTTGAGAGTCTGATTGCTGCTTCTCTTTCTCTGGGTCTGTTTTTGTTCATCAGTTTATGTTGTTCATTATTTTCTCTAGATGTGTGAGATCATGTGATCCAAGAAATACCCTTGTAAGAACCTAAACTGCGACAAGCAATAATGGTTATGCTGAGAGGCAAATGAATCCGTCTGTAGTGAGTTCCTTTCTGGGCCAACAGTTATTTTGAGTCCCAATTTCAATGTCAAATAGTTCCTTATGTGTACATGTCAGCCATGATATTTCAGATCTGGTTGGTGGACAAATGGTGGTGATGCAGGTCCGACTGTCTCTGGTTTGGTCCTGGGCATCCTTCAGCAACACACAGCTGCTGTCTGCTGAGGCATCATCAGCAACTTTCATCTCTGAATTGTGTCTCTTCTCTCTTCATGGCTGGAGTGCTTCTGTCTATTCCTCTCTGTTACAGGATTCCTGATGGTCTTGGAGTTGTTTTCTGAAAATATACAAATATATTCTTGACCAAAAGTTAATAAAGGGATATTTTCTTTAAATTTGATTTGGGATTCTTTTTCATCCCCCCCCCCCAAATAATTTTTCCCTGGCTTGTTTTGAAACCATGTGTGTATTTTCATGAGTATCTTGCCATTAGCGTTTCGAATGAAGGTTAATTTTCTAAAGTACAAATTTTTTAGATGTAAATTATTCTCAGGATATTTTCCCTTACATGATATTCTTCCACTGTCACTCCCTTTTTTACTTTAAACAATAGGAGACTTTTGTAAATTTTATAATGTAGTCTTGATAGCTTTTACATTTTAAATTATTTGTGCTACACTATGATTGCTTTAGGTTCATAACATGTGCAATTTTACCATGGGACGTTCGTTCTGCCAATAGAATTTTTGTTAACACTTTAGGAACAGCTTTTTGTACAGCACAATCAGTTTTTCTAGAATATTCATTTATTTCCATTAGCCACATTAATTTCCTCTGAGAAGTTGGCTACTATTCATCTGTCAAACTCAACACTCTAGCAACAATCTTATTACCATGTGTATATTAGTGGAATTGATTATTTCCCTTCTTGAAAAGGGCCTGAGCATTCCTGCTACTAGGCTGGACTTGGATATTAAAAACCCACTTGCCCACACCATGGGTATAAGACCTCTCAAACAAGTCTTGTTGCAATGAGAGGGCAGCTGCTGTCAGCCAAGTCTCTGTCTGTTCTCTGGGTCTCAATTTGAGCTGTGCATAGGAAGCGAAGCAGCCATGGGGGCAGGAGACCTCCCTCAGAATGGGAGAAGGTTCAGGTGCCTGCCATGTTGCAGGGGGGTTGGTAAGGGTCTGTGCCCCACCTCTGTTGACCCCCAAGTTCTCTCTGTGCCTGTGCCTGTCTTAGGTTGTTCCTTCCCTGAGGAATCTTACCCCTGTCTGGCTAACCAGCCATCCTCTGGGGCCAAGCAGGGTAATGTGAGGTTTAGTTCTGTCTCCTTGGTAGCCTATGCCCCCATGGGCTCCACACCCAGCACCTGCCTCAAGAACCCTTCACCTACTGGCGAGGCCCGGGCTTTGATCTCATAATGTTTCTTCTCTAGAGAGGGTCCAGCTCCCCCGACTGGGCAGGCGAGAGATCCATGGTACCAGCCACCATGGTGCTTCAGCCTCGGCATGAACTGAAAGGTCAGGCAACAGTTGTGGGCACCTGGACCATGAGAAGAGGTTCATTTTTGGCCACAAGGGCAAGATGGGCCAATATAGAATGCTCAGGTGTCTTCCCAGGGGGCCCTCTGCATAGTGGGAAGGATGAAGTCCTTTCATGTAGTTTTAAATTGCTGCCAGACATTCAAAGGATTGGTGTGTATGTTTGTTTGGGATAATTGTACAATATGCTGTTGTAATTCTAAAATATCTAGAGTTGTGTACCTTTGTCTCCAAGCACCACCACCAAAAAATATATATATAATAAAATAAAATAAATGATTTTTTATTGATACCCCATGGTGCGAGGTACTATTATAGGTAATGGGAATAACCCAAATCTGGGAAAAATTATAGTGACCTTGTAGAATAATATCATGTAAAGCTATTCTTTGCTCTAGGCCATGGAAATTCCATTTTAAACTGGCTGTCAATTTCTTTTTGTATAGACGAGGTCTTTGTTTCATTTTCTATGCCTCTCCCAGGAGGAAGGAGTGATGTTCCCTTCCTTTGGTGTCATCACCAGCCAGAAACTTCTGTTTAATTTTACACACAAAGGAGCAGTGGTTTAATTTTGTGTCATACAGAAGGGGAGATGGGTGGTGACCGCTATGTAATTATATTTCCTTGTTCCATCTGTGGTCCTCCTGGATGATCAAGGTGTTTGGTATCATCAGTGACTACTTTGGGCAAGCGGATCAGCCCAGGTAAGGGCTCCCACCCGTGAAGGGTTAGGAATATAAGTCCAGAAATACTTACCCAATAGCTCTAGGTTATATTACCGTACAGCTTATGCCTGCTAGCATGGCAGTAAAGGCGTTCTCAGTGATGCTTCTTTCTATCTCTCTCGCCCTTCTTCTCTAAAATCAATAAAAACATATTTTAAAAAAGAAAATTAAGACTGTATTCATGGTTGATAAACAAAGCAGTTTGACACTAGGTTGATATCAACTTTGACAATTTAGCATACTTTTTTTTTTTTTTTTTTTTTTAGTTCTGCAAGAAACAAATATACCAGCTGAGTGCAGTTGAACAAAATCCTCACAGAATTAGCAGTTTTCTGACCCACTTACTAAAAAAAAAGCTGAATCACACCACGGAGACCCCAGGGAAATGCAGATTTATACCTTTGATGTATTTCTTGGTTTTTCTTCAATTAAAATAAATTCTGGGATCAGTTTCTGAGTCTTTGCCATCTTCTCTTCTTTTAATGGGTAATTTCACACGTCTTCTTGAATATAAATTCTTGACTTTTGTAAATGCAAATGGATAATAAAAGCTGCAGACAGCTTTCTCCTATGCAAACATTTTCTAAACCCATCAGGAGGGCCCGCTTCTCTCTCTAATGCCTTCCTTTGTTGGATTGGGGCTGGGGGTGGGAGGAAGGGGCTGTCAGGAAGAGAAGCCCAATGTGCTTCACTACAGATGGGGGCAGTGGTCACTCCACCTGTGGTCACACCGATAAAGGAGAGACGCCACCATTCCCATAGGCACGGAGCCATGTTTGCTCTCCATTTCCCACCACCAGGCCTTCACCAATGCTTTTCCAAACACAGGGGACCACCTTTCTCCTCCTGTCAAATGTTCTAGCCCTTCTCCATCCATTGTAGTTGTCCTTTAAGAACTTTTCTTCCAGACGAAGAAATTTCCAATTTCAAACCCATTAATACAATTCCTGACCAACATCTCATCAACAACTCCCTCTTTTTTTTTCTTTTTTTTTCTTTTTTTTTAATGAACGAGGCAATTTATTAACCCAGCATTTGTTCTAATGCTTCTTGTTGGCAGCTGCCACCTGCCCTGCGATTCTGTCCAGATCTCTCTGTCCCTGAGGTGTCAATTTGCGGCCCCCATCCTGATCCTTCTCCACCATTTTCAGCCCCTCCAGGGCTTGGAGGACTCTGCGGGCCACGCTCTTAGAGCCTCTGCTGAAGTGCCTGGGCATGACACCGTTTCTCTGTCGTCCTCCATAGATCTTGGTCATGGAGCCAACCCCAGAGCCTCCCCGAAGGTACAGGTGCCGCGCTGTGGAAGCAGCTCGTGTGTAGAACCAATTCTCGTCATAGGGAGCAAGCTCTTTGTGCTTGGCCAGCTTCACAGTGTCCACCAATTCAGGGGCTTTAAGCTTTCCAGACCTGGGATCAAGACAGCAAGAAAGGCACAATTCACCAGTCTGCACAACCCTCTCACCCCCTCTCAATAGGGACTGGACGTTAAGAGGAGCTGGATGAGTCCCAGTCAACAACTCCCTCTTGTGATTGCTGTATTTACACTGATTATACGCTGGTCTTATTTTCCTATAGGAGCCAGGTGGCCTTGGCGCAGCCAATGTTGCTGATTCTCTCTCTCTTCCCAGCACTACCATTCTTTGAATGCCCAGGTTAGCAACCTCAGAGGTACATCTGCAAGTATCATTGCATATACATTTTTGCTACCGACATAGTATCTAACACCACAGCCTCCATATAATAAATGTTCTGTAAATGAAGAGGTTAATACCAACCAAGTTAGTATGTAACAAATCTGGCATTCTGAGATCAAGGTGTTCTTTTCCTAACATCGTACTGAGTGAGCACTGACTATGCTAAGCAGTGTGCTAAGTGCTTTACATGTATTATTTTTATTTTATTTTATTTGTGTTAATCCTCATCTGAGGATATTTTTCCCCATTGGTTTTTCAGGGAGAGTAGAGGGAGGGAGGCAGAGAGAAACATCAATGTGAGAGACACATGTTGATTGGTTGCCTCCCACACATGCTCTGACCAGGCCAGGGATTAAACCTGCAACCAAGGTACCTGCCCTTGACTAGTAATCAATCCTGAAACCCTTGGGTGTGAAAGCCAACACGGTAACCACTGAGCGACACCAGCCAGGGCACTGTACATATATTATTTATTCATCATAAACATGTATCAAGATCTGACTATAGGCACTGTGCTATGCCTTAAGAATACATTAATGAACAAATTATTTACTTACAAATTGCCTGGTGGTCAGAGAGATGGTCCGAGGACCAGTTAGTAACTGGGGGAGCATCAGTTAGGTCTTACTCTAGAAACATGTCTTAACCACTACGTTTATTTCCTCTGGTGTTCAGCTATTGACAACCCACATGATTATAGTGACTGTCTCGTGTGACCACACTCTTACACAATCAATGATGTAATACTCCTTGAAGATAACATCTGAAGGTCTTATATAATGTTAATTCCAAATCCATGCCAACTTTTGTTGATTAATCAATAAATACCTACTGGCCAACTGCTCTGATAACTGAGTTATCCATTGGCTTTCATTAGAACTTGGGAATTTTAATTCACCCATAAAGATATTTCATCACCAGTAAAAACTTATTTCTCCCAAGAGCCAGAGGGTACTAATAGCAATGATACCACAAATTATGAAAAATAGATTTTTAAGGCATCCTACCTACCCACCAGCAAACATATTCAGTTATTCTGGCAACTGGATGATATACTATTTATAAAACCAGTTTCTTTAAATTTGACAAAGAAAACTACAGGAGAGGGGAGAGAAGAGAAATTCACTTAAGAAACTGTGAGTATGAGCAGTATCAATAGGTATAAATATCTTGCCTGCCAACAGATTAAACCAGAATGTGATGCAAAAAGAACAAGACATAACAAATGTTTGAGAAATTCTTGAAATGAAATAAAACTAGGAAATGCCTAAAAATAGCTTCAGATAAATGATACATGTAGCAAAACACATCAGCAGTGTTTTTAGGGCCAAGATTGTTGGAAAGAAATAGAAAGATGTGGATACAGAGAAAATTAAATCACAAATCTTTCCAACTGTGGACAGTAAAGAACAAAATACAGCCAACTCTTAGCGTAAAGTAGTAATTTTCAGATGAATTTGGGCAATGGAAACAGCCAAATCATTAGAAGAGGGAGAGGGAGAGTAGGGAGCCATTTAGTCGATGTTGAGAGCAATTCGGCTCAAAACAAAAGGATTTTTTTTTTTTTGCTTGTTTGTTTGCCTAATTTTTTTTTCTTGTTTGTTTGCCTAAGTAGTATGGCTCTGTTATGGGCTGGTTTCCCAATGGGAATCCCTAGAAGCAGCCAACAGCACCCATGGGCTCACATCATAGACTCTCTTGTGTACAGCCCATTGATTCCTTTTCGGGTAACAAATCCCATGTCAAATTGCAGAAGCCTGTCATTTTAGATCACAACCTCAGCACTATTGACATTTGTGGACAAAAAATGCTTGCTGTGGGCTGTCCTGGCATTGCAGAATGTCGAGCAGCATCTCTGGCCTCTACCCACTAGATGCCAGTAGCAACCCTTGCTCCCAGCTGTGACAACCAAAAATGTCTCCAGGTATTGCCCAGTATCTCCAGGGGGCACAAGCACTTCCAGGTGAGAACCACTAGCTTAAAGGATGAAGGATGGCCATCCAGCCCAACCTCTCACCATACAGACGAGGAAACCAAAGCTCACGCACATCAAATGCCTTGCTCGAACAGACACAGGTGCTTAAACGCCAGATCTCACCCAGAAACCCCAGACCATCACCCTCAATAATTCTATTCTACCCCGGTTTTAGTCATATCCATATCACCATCATGATTTTGCCATACCCAATGCCATTTCTATCATTATTTATTATTTTTATCTGAGTTGACTCATTTTTTTTTAAAGTTTTATTGATTTTAAAAGGAAACAGGTATATAAGGGAAAGACAGATGCAAAAATTAGAAAAGATTATGGTATCAGAGGGAGAGATCTGTGCTCAGGTGTTTTATCAAACACCTACATTGTGCCTACCATGTGCCATGTACCATTTATTTCTTTACTTATTTATTTAGTAGGGGCCAAGTGCACGAATTTGTGCACCTTGAAAGGAACAATGGGCCGAGCGGCTGCAGTGGGCACAGGGGTGGGCCTTGGCCCATCCTTGATGCCCCCACCTGGCCCCTCCCGCTGTGGCCCCTGGTCCCCTGTCTGCCAGCAGCCTCTGCTCCTGCCACCACTGCTCCCATTCTCTGACAGCGCCGGCCCTGCTGGCACCTGCTGACAGCACAGAGTGATTGGGGCCGGTACCAGCAGCAGGGGTGAGAGGTGGCTGCCGCCCCAATCACCCTGAGGGCTTCTCCACCTCCTGCTTCTGAGGGGCGATTGGGGCAGCAGCCACCACTCACACCTGCTGACCTGAGGACTGCAGTGTGTGGGAGCAAAGAATTTTCAGTAACCACCAGAGGCTTGCCCTGATGACAGCGACTGGTGCCCTGCCTTGGTCTGGCACCCCACTTGCCTGCTCCACCATTCCACCATAGCCACCACCAGTGATGTTCCCTGGGCCCCCTGGTGGTCAGCACACGTCATAAAAACCTGTTGTTCAGTTGTTTGGTCAATTTGCATATTAGCCTTTTATTATATAGGATGATTACATAGGATTCCTCACCTGAGGATATTTTCCCATTTATTTTTAGAGTGGGGGGGGGGAGACAGAGACATCGATGTGAGAGAGACACATTGATTGGTTGCCTCCTGTATGCACCCTTGGCCAGAATCAAACCCGGAACTTTTCAGCCTATGGGCTGATGCTCTATCCACTGAGCCAAACCGGCTAGGGCTGCCCATTTTAAGTGCTTTACATATATGAAATTTTTTATCTTAATAATGATCTTATTAGATAACTGTTACTATTATCCTCATTTTATATAGGATAGAGATTCAGGATGACCCAAGTCGGGGTGAGCGGTTAGGGGACTAATGGGGGGATGAGGACACATAGTTAATACATTAATCAATAAAGAAATTAAAAAAAAAAAGATCACCCAAGTCACAAGTGGCAGAACTGGGATTCTAGCCCAGAAAGGCTGGCTCCAAAGTCCATGCTCTTCATTGATAAAGGGAAAGATGGAAAATGCCTGCGAAGGGAGAGATGGGCCTGAAGTTCAAACCTCATGAGCATTTTCTATGTAGTTAGAAAATAACGGGTACAGGTAAAAAGGCAGTCAGACCCGTGTGTTAAGTAAATCCTTTTGGGAGAAAGGAACTCGCACCAGGAAGAGAAAGGCTGGACAGAAATAGTGGTGGAAAGAAAAGGACAGAAGCTGAGGGAGGGCGAATCAGGGGGGGGGGCGGGGGACAGGATGAGACTTGAGTAAAGTGAGCCAGGCTCTGAGAGAAACAAGGAGCTTGGCAGGGTGAGGACATGGTGAGGCTGAAGGTGGATTTTCAGGCAGAATGGTGATCTGGGAAAAGGGAAAAAGAGTGGGGTGGGGGTTGAGGCCCAGGAGAGGGTCCTGGAGAGTTGAGGGGAAAGGTGCTAGGGGATATCAAGGTGAGAACCTAGAGATGGGAGTGGGGAGCTGCTGCAACTTTAGGTGAGACTGAGAAAGGATCCCAGCAGGGAGAGCTGAGGCACCCAGATGGATAGAGAGAAAGCACACTCCCACGCCAGGGAGAAGGGGGTGTCTGCTAAAGGCCAACACTGGTGAGCGCCAGCCACTGACGTTAATATTTTTTCCTTAAAAATCAAGTTCAGCCCTGCCAACTCAGTAGTTGAAGGTCAACCTATGAACCGGTCACAGTTGGGTTCCTGGTCAGGGCATATGCCCGGGTTGTAGGCTTGATCCCCAGAGTGGAGCGTGTACCAGGCAGCCGATCAATGATTCTCTCTCATCATTGATTGTTCTCTCTCTCTCTTCTCTCTCTTCTCTCTCTGTCTCTCTCTCTCTCTCTCTCTCTCTCTCTCTCTCTCTCTCTCTCTCTCTCCCCTTCTTCTCCTGAATCAATAAAATATTATTTAAAATCAAGTTCAGTATACACACCACGTTTTGCAAAATGTTGAATCAATTCATCTCCAAAATACATTTTAAAAAGCTTTTAAATTACATTTGAGAAAATTTTGAGACTTTTATGTTCCCACCACTAGCTCATAAATAAAATATACCACTTGAAAAAATGCACACACACTTATAATTGCTGAATAAAAATATCAAGCGTAGAA